TGTGGATCTGCGCGGTGTGTATCTCCCCGTGGGCGCTCCTCCCGGCAAGGACGGGCCCGGCCTCCGGCCTGCGGGTGGGCGCGCTGGTGGGCGTCCGCGGCCCGGGGCCGCCCGCAGAGCAGGCGGCATTCAGGAGAGGAGGGCCGCCACCAGGGGAGGAGGCAGGAGGAGGAGGAGGAGGAGGAGAAGGAGCAGCAGGAGCAGCAGGAGCAGCAGGAGCAGCAGGAGGAGGAGGAGGAGGAGGAGCAGGAGGAGGAGAAGGAGGAGCAGGCGGAGGAGGCGGAGGAGGAGGAGGAGGAGGAGGAGGAGGAGGAGGAGGAGGACGAGGAGGCGGCCGAGCATCGAAAAAGAGAAAACGCCATAACCATACACTTTTGGCGCTCCGCGCGGATTTCTTGGCTCGGCGCACGGGCCCCCCTGGCGGCGCCTCCGCTGCAGCGGGCCCGCAGGGCGGCCAACGCGTCCACGCGCCACCTCGGCGTGGACCTCCGCTCGGGCAGGCGGGGCCGTGGGCGCCCAGGTGTGCTGGGCGTGGCGCACGGCGCGGGGCCTGTCAGGCAGCGCCGCATCGACGATGGACGGCGTCGGCTGCGCAAGGCCATGCGGGCCATCAGGCAGGAGGCGGGCTGCAAGCGGATCTGGCACACGGCCATCGTCCCCGCGGCCATCTGGGGACGAGAGGTCTCGGGCCTCTGTGTGCAGGAGCTGGGCGCCCTGCGCACGCGCGCCGAGGCGCTGGCGGGCCACCCCTACGCTTCCTCCGACATCCTGGAGGCCGCGCTGCCCGCATGGTCGCCCCTGGGGCGCGCGACGGCGCTGACCGTCGAGACGTATGCCGAGGCGTGGTGGAGGGCCTCGGACGAGCGGCAGCGGAACGGGCATGTCCTCAGCGTCCCTGAGCTGCGGAGCGTGTTCGAGGCTGCCCACGCCAGCTACGCCAAGCAGCTGGGCGAGGCAGGGCCCTTGGGCGCCATGCTCCGCAGCCTCCACTGGGCTGGCTGGGAAGCCGCGTCTCCCAGTGCCAGGTGGCGAGGGTTTTCAACCAGAACGTGATGCTGGAGACCCAGCGGCGCGCCGACGATGCCGTCAGGAGGAGGTTCGGCATTGACGACTCGTTCGGCGGCATTTGGTGGGAGGGCGTCCAGCAGATCCTCCAGCGCCGCGGGGTCTCGCCCCTCGAGCGGCACGTGATCGCCTCGCTGCTGTGCGGGACGTACTTGACGGGCGAGCGCGTGCGGGACGTCGGGTGCCTCCATGATGGCCTCTGTCTTGAGCTGCGGTGTGCCAGACACCACTGAGCACCGTGTACAGACGTGCTCGCGGTTCGCCGCAGGACGTGCCGAGGAAGGGTGGGCAGAGGCGCTCTCGGCGGGCCGCTCGCTCGACGACGGCCTGCTGCTGAACAGGTGCCTACCGTGCGCGCCTGCCCGTTGTCTGGACCCGCCCCGCGGGAGCATGCGAGCTTCCTTTGGCGAGCGCGAGGTGCCAGTAAGCAGCTGCTCGTTTCTGCCAGGTGTGGCCATCGCGGGGGACGGGTATTGCTACACCTCCCCTCTGACCTCCCTCGTTCGGGCGGGCTGGTGAGTCGTGCAATGGGAGGTGGGGCAACAGGAGCTTCGCAAGATAATGGGCTCGATCCCTGTCGGGATACCGCAGTCCGCCGTCTGTGTTGAACACCCGTGTTTTTGTTTCACAGTTGCCGAGGTCTCAGACGGCACTTGCACATAGATAGGAGATTGCTCCTCGGTCCTAGAAGCGGCCCGACTGGGGGTGGCCCAAGCGGGCAAGCCTTCGGGCCCTTTCGCGAGCTTCTGGAGGGCCCTCCCGCGGCAGGATGGGGCCTTTGCTGGGCTCGCCAAGCAGAAGTCGCACGTGCACGTCGTCGAGCAGCCCACCACCGACGGCGAGTGGGCTGCCTGGCTCAACGATCAGGCTGACAAGGCCGCCAGGCAGGGAGCGCGCCTTCACGGCATCTCTGCCACCCTCGTCGCGGGCCTCGAGGATCAGCTGGCGAAGGTCAGGAAGTACCTGATTGGGGTCGCCCGAGTGCTGCGCTCTGGCCCCTCGCCCAAGCAAGAATGGGCTGATCTGCGCAGGCCGCCGCGCTATCGTGTAGCGGCCGCTGCAATCGCCCACGACTTCGTTGTGGTCGGCAAGGGCCGTTGGCAATGCGTGCGCTGCCGCAGATGCAAGACGTCGAGGATTGCCGCCCTCGATCGCACGGAGAGCCGACTCGAGGATCGGCCTTCCAGTGTTGTGCGTGTGGAGGCCCACTTGGACTCGCACGACGTTGACTGGTGCGGGCGCTCAGCCAGGCCAGGAGCTCCTGTGGGCGAGGTTTTGTTGTTTTGCAAGCGGTGCTCCATGTATGCCACCAGCAAGCCTGCTGGACTTGGGAGCCCGTGTCCTGCTTCCCTCCTTGGGTGGGAGATGAACGTGGCCGCGCGGGCAGGCGGAGGCGATGCCTCAAGGGTAAGCATCCCAGGTGCGGCGAAGATGCAGTGATTCTCGCTGCCTGGTCGGTTTCACGCCTTGCATCCGTTCCCGAAGCGCTTATTGCCACACAGGCCAGTGGGTAGCGGTGTGTTGCCAGCCGACGGCGCAGCAGCCACCACGCTCGTGATGATGAAATAAATCCTCCGCCTCCTCCGTCTCCGCCGCCTCCTTCGATTCCTCCTCCTTCTCCTCCTCCTCCTCCTCCTCCTCCCCTCCTCCTCCTCCTCCTCCTCCCCCTCCTCGTCCTCCTCCTCCTCGTCCACCTCCTCCTCCGCCTCCTCCTCCCCCTCTTCCTCCCAGAGCAGTCGGCCTCCTGGGCTGCGCTTTCTTTATTCTAAAGCAGGCGGCCTCGGGCGAGGAGTGCGGCCCCCGCGGCGTGGCGACCTCGTGGGACGCCGACCGCGGGCGGTGGCTCGTGCGCCTGCGCACGGGGGAGCTGCGCGCCGTGGCGGCCTCGCGCCTGGAGCTGGTGGACGGGGCGGAGGAGCCGAGGGTGAAATCGGGCATATCCTTGTGGAAGTCTGTTCATGGAGAGGGAGCATGCTGTCAGCTAATTGTCACATGTCTGAAAAAATGCTTCAAACATGTTTTTTACATCTGTTGGAAACATGGTTAGAACATGTTGCACACAGTGTAACACATCTTTAGCTCAATGATAGGGTTGTTAGAGTGTCCATGGTCATGCCATCCACAAGCATTTCCTTCTACAGGGGAAATCTGGCAAACTAGGCAAAACATAGTCTGGGGAGCGAAGTCAAAGGCAAGAGCGAGAGCGCGATTCCCACGTGACGAGGGCGCGGCGTTTCACGAAACTGCGAATCTATACAGAGGGAGAGCTCGATTGTTGCATACATCCAGAAAAGTCCCAAGCGAGAGAGCAATTTTGGAATACATGGTGAGTAAGCATCAGGCGGGAGCCGCTGTTGTTGTAAGCCGGGAGCCCACAGCACCATCTGAGGCGCGATCATTTCCATTGTGAAAAACACAGGGTGCGAACCCCGGGAGTAACTTTGTAATCGAAAGAACATAATGGACACCGAAGGGGGGATCCAGGACTGTTCGACTTCGGATTTGTCGTTTACATACGTTCGCGTGTCACTCAACATGTATATCCCGAACCCTCGATACCCGCCCTCTTCGTCTCAGACCGTGCCCCCCTTGGGGGTACAACTTACCTGCGAGGCGTATTTGGCGCAGCCCCCAAAACAGGGGAAAGTGAGAGGAGGGAACAGAGAGGGGGGGAGAGAAGGACGGAGCACAACAGAGATTGGCAGGAGGGGGGGAGCAGGAGCATGAGCGACAGAACCAGCCGGGCGGGGCGGACGGGCGGACCCCGGCGGATGGGTCGAGAGGGCGGGCGGCCAGGTCGAGCGGGCACGTCGTTGGAGCGCCTGTCTGGCATGAATCGCGCGGAGCGGCTCCAAGGTAAAACGTGGGGGAAGTTCAGAGCGAGAGTGTCATTCTTGAGTGTCGAAGGCGCGGCGCTGGTAACACATTGAGAGGAAGTCCCGCGCGAGAGCGCGATGCCTGGGTGAATGTTGAGGAAATCCCGCTCGAGAGGGCGGTATGTAATACATGGCTGGAACTTATCAGGCGCCAGCCGGTGTTGTTGTAGTTCGGTTGACGGGGCCAGTGTGAGCCCCAAGGTTTTCTTTTGTAAACGGTGCGAGCCCCGGGACGGGTGACACAAATGTGAATCAGAGGGGGGGGATCAACAAGTCTTCGATCCGAGTGAGAACTCAACAGACAACAGGCAAGCAACATCCAGGCCACGGAATGCCACTTGACCCACGCAATTACTTGGGTCTGGTCCACGACCGTTCGGCCCCCCATTCTGATCATGCGTCCCAAGATCTTCAAAGTTGCCCCCAACAAAGAATGTTGTTCCGCACGGGGTCCAGAAGCAAGCATCCTTATATATACATACATATATATATACCTTGCTAGCATGGCATCATTCTCGCACTAGAGGAGCCTCCCACACTGGGGGCTCTGTCTGGTGAGGTCGACGCGCGTGTAACGGCGTGCGCTGGTGGAGCGAGCATGGCGCAGATCCAAACTCGATTGTTTCACATTTCGCGATGGCGAGTGGGACGCTTTTCGTGCGATCGCGCTTCGCTCTCTGAGTCTCCTCCTCCTCCTCCCCCTCCTCCTCCTCCTCCTCCTCCTCCTCCTCCTCCTCCTACTCCTCCTCCCCCTCCCCCTCCTCCGCCTCCTCCTCCCTCCTCCCTCCTGCTCCTCCTCCCTCCTCCCTCCTCCCTCCTCCCTCCTCCCTCCTCTCCTCCTCCTCCTCCCTCCTCCCTCCTCCTTCCCTCCCTCCTTCTCTCCTCCTCCTCCTCCTCCTCCTCCTCCTCCTCCTCCTCCTCCTCCTCCTCGCAACAATGCGACACATGCGCTCTAGGAGTGTTCCAAGCGTGCCAACCACCCTGTTGTGCCGCACGGGGCCCAGAAAACGAGGATTGCTGCATGCTCTGGACTTCCTGCATCACGGCCAGAAACGAGGGCGTGGGGCTGGGGCGGCGTTGGCCGGACATGGTGCCAGTCTTTCCCTTCGAGAGCCTTGAGACGGGGGTCAATGCAGACGGGGGTCAGCCAGAGCGCCTGATCTTGCAGGATCCTGCAGTGCCAGGGGCGCACTGACCCGGGCTTACGTGCAGGATCTTGCAGGATCGTTCACATTGACCCGGGTTTGGGAGCAGGATCTTGCAGGATTCTGCAAGGCCTGATTGACCCGGGTCTGGATTGACCTGGGTCGGAAGATCCCCGATCCCTGGGTCAGGAGTGTACCGCTTCGGCTGCCCCGGCTCCCTCCCAGCCAGCCATTGTGCCCAAAGCGTTTTTTTTGTTTGCTGTCGCCTCTCCGAACGCGGCCGAGGTCGAGGATATATTCTCGCGCCCAAGTGGGTAGATTCGTGGGCGCCGGATGCTCTGGACCTCCTGAAACGCGTCCTGCGTTCACTGCACCACGACACCACTCTCTCCTCCCAGAAGGGAGCCCGACACGGGGGGGTCTCTGCCTGGCGAGGTCGGTGCGCGTATCATTCATGGCGTGCGTTCGTGGCGCGACCACGGCGCAGATCCTGACCTCGACTCTTTTTGTTGTTCACCTTCCACGCGGCGACGAGCCAGGGGGGATGAAATGAGAAAGAGGGGGCCTGCTCAGAAGGCGACGGGACTTCTCGGAAGCCCCCGCGCCTTCTGAGAAGTTTTTTCTTGTCTTCGGGGGGTGCTCACAACACTTCTCAGAAGGCCAGGGGACTTCCAATCCTTCTGAGAAGGCCTTCGTATTATCATTTCCAAAGCGAGCAAAGCGAGGGGTCCTGAAACGTTCTGCCGCTAGTAGGAGCAGGGCGAGTTGAGACAAGAACAGCTCCAAAATCGGTCCCCGGACCGACACTTCCTGAGCCCAAGCGCAGAAGTCTTCCGAGCCGGCGGCGAGTGGGGGGGGGGCCCGAGGGCCGATGTCGCAGCACGCCCTGCTTTGAGCTGGACAGACCTTGTGGACCTGGACGGCCTCCTGGGCCCGACTCTCTTGACATCCTCCCTGTCCCCGAGGAGTCCCCGCAGCTGACGACCTTCGGCTGCGAGCTCTCAGGCGGTCTGCCGCCCGAGGCCGGGGGCGCCCCGTACCAGCTCTGGCCGCTGGTGTACTCCGGCCTCATACGCGTGCGGGTCCCGGACGGCCTGCTGGCGCGGCTCAACGCGCAGGTGGACGCAATAGTGGCGTCCCGATCAGCTCGGGTCGGACGTGGGGGGGGGGCAACAGGAAGGGGGCGGGGCGGTGCAGAGGGGGAAAAGAGGCACCGATGGCGCTGCCCTGGCCTCGTTTTCGCCGCTTCGGGCCCCCTGGGAGTCCCTCCCCGCCACGGCTGGATTCGCTTCGAGATTCTGGTCAGACTGTGCTCCGGGAGAGGTCCGGGGAGTAGCGATGTCGGTATCTTGTCCTTCCCCTGGATATGGAAAGAAGGGGGTACGAAATTTGCTGTGTGCAGCTGGTTTTGGGTCTGCCGCCTGGGGCATTCCTCGATACGTTTGCGCCTCCGGCGCGGGGAGGCGCCAGGAAAACGAGCCTCGAGCGCTGATTCGCCAATCCCCCTTTACTACCCCCCGTTTCGCCCGTCCCGGTCAGCGCCGAGCCACGCTTTGTTTTTGCAGGCCGAGATGAAAGAAGGGAGGCAGTTCACGGTTCAGCATGTGGACCAAGAGTACAAGGATCTACTCTTGGAGAGCGCCAAAAAGTTGGCGGTGGCGATAACAGGGGATGATGCCCTTGGGTGGAAGTACGCAGTGGACACCGTGTGGACGGTTCACCAGATGTCGGGCGACTACAACCCAGTGCATTTCCACACGAACCAGAGGTTTCTCCTCTTCCTCCTCGCACTTCCTCCTCCTGCCTCCTCATCCTCCTCCTCGCTCTTTCTCCTCCTGCCTCACCCTCCTCTTCCTCATCCTCCTCCTCCTCCTCGCCCTCCTCCTCCTTCTCCTCCTGCTCCTCCTCCTCCTCCTCCTCCTCCTCCTCCTCGCTCTTCCTCCTCCCTCGACCCTCATCCTCCTCCTCCTCCTCTTCCTCCTCCTTATCCTCCTCGCTCCTCGCTCCTCGCTCATCCTCCTCCTGCCTCACCCTCCTCTTCCTCTGGCGGGCACGTGCTGCGCTGTGGGATCGGGGGCCGGCGCACTGCTTTTCTCCCAGGAGCGGCCCCACGTTTCAGACGAGGGCCGCTCCCAGATGTGAGGTGCGCCAACATGGGCCTGTGGACTCCGATACCTCCTCCTTCTCCTCCTCCTCTTCTTTGTTTGACGCTGCACGAACTTAAGCCAGTGTGATGTAGCCTTTGTCCTCCTCCTCCTTCTCCTCCTGCCTGGGTCGCACTTCGGCTTCTCGTCCTTCCTGCACTTGCAGCTACCCCCGCAGCTGAACCTCAGCCAGCACCGGCTGCCCGAGGGCCAGGGCTGCGGCCGCCGCGACGGCGCCGCTGCCGCGAGCAGAAGGGCCCAGGGCCAGGGGGTCATCCGTGTTCGGCCACGTGCAGAGGGGGGTAGGGGCAGGGGGGAAGGCTTCTTGGAAGGAGGCTGCTTCTTCGAAGGCGCGGGCTTTCTCTACAAATGTAAGGCCGGCACCAAGAAGCAGCCTGCTTCTGAGAAGCCTTCCCCCCTACCCCTACCCCCCTCTACGCGCCGCCAACTTGTGACGGGCATAGATCGAGGAAGCGCAGCCTTGGATTATCGCCTTGGATTATCGGGGAAACGTGAGACTCGAGTACGCTGGCACTTGGGTTTGCCGACGCTTCTTGGCGAGCGCGTCCTGGATTCTGACGGTCCAGTGTTCGTGGGATGTCTGGGGCGGGAGCTCGCATCACACTTCAGATGGGGTCTCGTCGTTTTCACGATGGGCCCGTGATCTGGGCCTCCCGAATGGGGTCAGAATCGATGGAGTCGGAGGATCGCGCCGCATCGCCGACGCATCGGAGATGCGGCTCGATGTGCAGCCCGATCTTCTCCACGCCGACGTCGCCGAGGCATCGCCGACGTCGGCAATGCAGCGGCGATGCGGTGCGGTGCTCGGGCCCCATCTGCTCGGACCCCATCTGGGAGGCCTCCTTGTGGCTCGGGGGTGGACAGACCTCCTACCCTGACACGTCGATTCCGGAATTTGCCGTTATAGGTTCGCGAGAGGGCGTCGCGGCCGTGATTTTTGCGGGTTCAGGTCCGTCGGTTTCGGTCCCAGGCCGTTTTCACTGAGGGGAGGTTTATTAAAGGGAGGTTTGCCCACCGCCGAGTGGCGGGCACACCCTTTCTCAGAGGGCGTTGGTCGAGGAAACGCAACCACGGACTAGCGACGCATGGACCACGCAGCGAGGGGTCCCGTTTCCGCTCGGACGCGGCGCGACCCGTCGCCAAACATCGGGTGGCAGCAGCCTCGGGGGTCGGGGGGGACCTGTTCCGATCCGTGGATCTGGCGCCCACGCACCAGACCTGGGTGCTGCTCGAAGTGCCACTGGCCCAAGGTCTTGGCATCGCTCGGACGTGTGCATTTTTCCTTCGGCGAGGACCATCGAGGAGCATCCTTGATCATTTGGCGAAAAAACCACGCACGAAACCGAAAAAAGCACAGGGAATGGACGTCCGAGCGATGGCGAGAGGTGCCCCCCCCCCCCCACGACTTCCAAGGAGAGGCCCCCGCGGCGTCCAAAGGACCTCCTCACGGGGCCCAGGGGGCCCCCCAGAGGCTCCAAGGTGGCGCGAGAAGCTGGGAGGGCCCTCCGGGCCCCGTGGAAGGTCTCTCTGGAGGCCGCCGGGGCCTCCTCGGACATCCTGGGGGCACCGTGGGCCAGGGGCACCTCCGGCAGCCCCCGACAGATCCAAGGGCGCCCTCGAGGGCGCGAAGTCGTTCGCGCTCCGCGGTTCGGCTCCGATTCCCCCTCCATCTTACTCTCCTTCCCTGGGAGGCGGCGCGAGAGCGCGAAGCTACTCGCGCAGCACGAAGCGCGAAGTGGGGAGCCCTTGCAGATCCACGGCGCCCCAAATCCACGACGAGCGCCTGCCCCATGATTTTCACACGCCTCGCGCGCGTGCCCCGCCGTAGCATGCCGGAGGCCACGGCCTCGCTCCCCTGGCCTCGGGCAGGCCCGGGCTGCTGTCCGCACCGGTGGTCGTTCGCTCGTTCGCTCGCGTGCCCGAGCGGAGGATCGGGAGCCGCAGGGGCCGCCCCGTCACGCCCCAAGAGAAGCAAGGGCGCCCTCGAGGGCGCGAAGTTATTCGCGCTTCGCGGTTCGGCTCCGCTTCCCCCTCATCCTCCTCTTCTCCCCTGGGAGGCGGCGCGAGAGCGCGAAGCTGTTCGCACTTCGCGCTCCGCGCAGCGCGAAGCGCGAAGTCGGGAGCCCCTGTCTTGTTGTCGCTGCTCCTTGCGGCGCCCGCGGCCCGCCGCCTCGAGGCACCACGAGCTTCTTCTGGAAGGCCGACGCGGGCGCGGGCCCCGAGAGCCTGGACTGCCCAGGCACCGACGAGCACCCCGGGGGACTCCAGGAGGAGATGGGAGGAGGCGGAGGAGGCGGAGGAGGTGGGAGGCGGAGGGTCGAGGGAGGTGGGAGGAGGAGGAGGAGGGAGGAGGAGGAGGAGGAGGAGGAGGAGGAGGAGGAGGAGAAGGAGGAGGAGGAGAGAGGTGCGTCCTTCGTCTTGCCTCAGAGGCTCTCTGGAGTGTGAGCTTGCAGAGGGGTACCTCTACGTGTTCCCCCAGTGGCTGCAGCACCACGTCTGGCCGTTCCGCGGGCCTGGCGAGAGGCGCACCCTCGCTGGCAACATCGCGCTGCTGGACCACGCAGACGCCTGCCGAGTGGCCCAGGCCCGCTCAAGGGCTCAAGGGGCTCGGGGACGGCAGGCTGTTGGCCAGCCCGCCGGAACACATTGGGAGTTGGAGGAGGGCGACGATGGCAAGTGTAGTCTGCATATGGCGGCATTTGCCTTGACCACCAGAAAGAATTTCGAGCACCAAGCGAGTATGAGAGCTTCAGGGTGTTTACGTGTCGGGCCCTGGGAGGCGAGACTCATTCTGCACTTCGCCAGCGTGCCGGGCACACTCCTACGATACGTTTCGGGGTGCTCGAATTTGTTTCTGGGATGTGGCCTGCAAATGCGATGGCAACAACAGAAGTATATGTTTGTGAAAATAAATACAGAATGCGTGCATCTCATCACCCCCGCAGTTGTGGGTAACACTCGGTTTGCAGCTGGGTCGTCTGCAAGGCTCCAAAGAGGCCCGCCGCAGGCGCTGACTTGCACAAAGAGTCCGTCGCATGCGCCGAATTTTCGTCAAAATCATTTTGGTGGGTCGCGGGTTGGTCGCAAGTGAGTCGCGGCTGGGTCACGGGCGGGTCACGGGTTGATCAAGGGTGGGTCGCGGATTGGTCGCGGCCGGGTCACAGGTGGGCCGCAGGCGCGGATGGCGATAACAACAAACAATGAACAAGCAATAACAATTGCAACAACAACAGCAATCATTTGACAGCAACAATCACAACAACAATGGGCGGGAGGAGGGAAGGGGACCAAAGGGGAAGAGGGAGAAGATTGGAGGACGAGAAGGATTGGCAACGAGATCCGCAAGAGGGGATGGCAAGGAACTCTCACAGACGAGAACGCGGTTCTTGATAAAATCAAAAGCTCGAGCGCGAGTCCAGAGCGCCGAAAGAGCGATTCGTCAATAAATTGTGAGGAAGTCTCAGGCGAGACCGCGATTCTTTGCTACATCGGAAGGAAGTCTCAAGCGAAATCCCGGAGTCCCAAAACTGTGAGGAAGTGTCAGGCGGGAGCCGTTGTTGTAATAAACCTGGGAGCAACAAGGCAGTTTGAGTTTCAATATTGTCTTTTGTAAAAAAAACCGGGTGCGAGTCCCGGGGAAGTGCCTCAAGTTTAAAAAACAGCCACGGAGGGGATCAACAATATTGAGTTTTCAGCAGTGAGAATTCGACAACAACGACAACAATCATCCCAAGAGTGTTCGCTCTTGCCTGCGCGCGTGTCGCTCAACATGTATATCCCAGACCGTCGATATTCGCCCTCTTGGTCTTCGATCCTATCCCCATTCGTGGGATGTATTCCATCCCTGCCATGTGTAATTGGCGCAGCCCCTAACCAGGAAAACGAGGGGGAGGGAGAGAGCGGGGACGAAGGGAGGGGAGGAAGGGAGGGAGGACGGAAGGGGCAAGAGGGAGGGCGGAGGACCAGTGGCACCGTAGGTTGCGAGTCGGCTTGCGCCATGGGTGGCGCCAGAAGCTGAAACACAGCTCAACAATAGGGTTCGCCATTTGTTTCTCCAGAAGTTGTGCCATGCACAGCCCCTTGAAAAACCGAGCGTGGATACCCCCACAGGGGAACCTACAGTGGGGGCGCGTGCCAAGAAACCTGTTGGATTTTGCCAGGGTGCCTTGGGTTTCTTGGATTCTGATGGGCTCCCAATCAGATCTTGACGATGTTCGATCGGCACATGTGGATTTTCACGGAACAAATCGCGTATGTCAGGGTTGGGTGGTTTGCGGAGGTTGCTTGTGGCCGAGCCCCCACCTGTACAGCAGCCACCTGGTGCGAGAAACAAACCGCGCGGAGGCAAAACGACGGGGACCCACGCAGGGCAGCACGGGGGCCACTACAGGGCGCGATCGCACGGGGGCCACGATGGGGCAGCGAGGCGGCCACGGAGGGCAGCAGCGGGGCCACGCGGGGCAGCGCGGGGGGGCGCAACGAGAGGCGACGGCGGGGGCCGCAGGGAGCAAGGGGGGCCACGGAGCGAGCGGGGGCGACGAAGGGCGCGCGGGGGGCCACGCAGGGCAGCGAAAGGGGGCCACGGAGGGCTGCAGCAGGGCCTCGAGGGGCAGCGAGAGGGGGCCACGCCGGGGCAGAGGGGGTGGCCACGGAAGGGCGACCGCGGGGCCACGGAGGGTAGCGGAGAGGTCGAGACGGCGGGCCACCCGGAGCACTGCTGGGGGCGAGGAGGGCAGCGACGGGGCCAGGAGCGGCGACTGTGGAGCCAAGAGGGGCAGAGAGGGGCATCGGAGGCGAGCGAAGGGCGGCGAGGGGCGACTGCGGGCCATACGACGTGGCGGGGCGGGCTGCCAGACCCCGACGGGCGGGTCGAGCGGGCGGGTCGCGAAGGCATAAGTCGTGGCCGAGTCGCCCAGAAGTCGCAGGCGGCGAGGAAATCCTGGACGAGAGTGTGGTTTCTGAGCGTCGAGGGCGTGGCGCCTGATTGAATTGCGAAGAAGTCCCGCCCGAGGGCGCGATTCCTGGAATCGTCGCCAGGACGTCTCAGGCGGAGAAAGGATGCCTCAATACACTGCGAGCATGTATCAGGCGGGAGCCGTTGTTGTTGTAGGTCGGACCAGGGGTCAATTTTGAACTAAAAAATGCTCCTTGATAACAGCAGGGTGCGAGTTCCGAGGGGGGACTTAATTAAAAAAAGTCGAATGGTTACCGGAGGATGGAGGGCAAACGCAATCATTCTTTAGAAGCGAGGATTCAGCAATTACGGTAACATGATCAACAACAGTGAGTTTCAAATTGTTCGCTCCGATCTGGTCACGTGATTTTCTTCACGTACATCCCAGACCCTCGGTGCCCCCCTCTCCGTCTTCGATCGTACCCCCCTGGGGGTATATCTTCCTCACCTGCCTCGCGCTTTCAGCCCAGCCCTGAAAACAGGGTAAACAAGGGACGAATGGAAGGGGGAGGGAGAAGGATGGAACACGAGAGAAATTAACAGGACTGAGGCTAGGAGTCGAAATCACGTGGCAGAACCAGACGGGTAGATCGGGCGGGCAAACCCTAGTGGGCGGGTCGGGAAGGCGGACCTTGGCGGCCAGGTCGAGCGATAGCGTCTTTCCCTAGTCAACCAGGACAAGGCCACTGTGAGAGCGTGATTCCTGAGTGTCGAGGACGCGGCGTTTGAAACAAATGCGAGGAAGTCCCACGCGAGAGCGCGATTGCCGCCTTCGCTGCGCGCGAGTTGCGCGCTGTACATTATGTTCGGCCCCGCCGTTGCGCGGTCAGCGTTAAACCGATTTTTTTGTGGGGGACAACCGTGGTGGAGTGTCCCGCGACGGGGGTCGTTCGGCCGTTCGCGCCAGGGCGCCGAGCTCTGCAAAACGAAACGCTTGCGCGCGCAGAAACCGATAATTCTGTCAGGCACCAGTGGGGTCCGCTCGGCCGTCGTCGAGTTTGCGTGTGCGCCTTTGCGCGGTCAGCGTTGAACCGACGATTTTTGTGGCGGCCAACCGTGTCGCCAGAATGTCCCGCGACAGGGGTCGTTCGGCCGTTTCGCCAGGGCGCCGAGCTCTCCAAAACGAAACGCTTGCGCGTGCAAAAAAACAATAATTCGGTCGGGCCCGGGAGCAGGTGTTGTTGTAGATCGGGGCCTAACAACGCAGTTTGAGCATGATTTTTTTTGATAAAAAGGGTGCGAGCCCCGAGGGGGCCCTACAATTCAAACGACACAATGTGCACCGGTGAGGGGGGATCAACCATATGTTTCTTCAAGAATGAGATTTCAACAACACATTCATCGGCAACAACAGCAGCAACAACATCAACGACAGCAGCAACTTGAAGACTGCGCGCTCCTATCTGCTCGCGTGCCGTTCAACATGCATACCCAGTATATCCCAGACCCTGGGTATTCGCCGTCTTCGTTTTCGATCGTACTCCTTTAGGGGTATATCTTTCTTACCTGCTAGGTGAATTTAGCACAGCCCCACGTGCATTCAACACAGCTCCTAAAAGAGGGGAGGCGAGGACGGATAAAAAGGGGAAGGGAGAAGGATGGGGCACAAGAGAAATTAGCAGGATTGGGGCTAGGAGCAGAAAGCACGTGATATAACCAGACAGGCAGATAGGGCGGGCAGACCCTAGTGGGCGGGTCGGGAAGGCGGGCCCTGACGGCCAGGTCGAGCGGGCGGATTGCTGAAGCGTGAGTCCAGCATGAATCGCGAGGAAATTTCGAGCGATTGCGCCATTCGCAAGTACACCGTGAGCAAGGCCAAAGCGAGAGCGCGATTCGTATACATTGCCCGCGCGAGGGCCCCCTATTCACGAACGTCTCGGGCTTCCCGAATGATTCACGACTGGTTGCTCAGGATTCCTTGGGAAATCTTGCGGATGTTTGGAAAAACTTCGGATATCAGGAATCCGCAGGGCGTCATGTTTAAAGGATCCCTTGGGATTCTCCGGGGATTGCCTAGGAATTCCCCCAGAATTTCCACGGGTTCCTCAAGATTTCCAAGAATGTTTCCAGATTCTGTCTGGGGAATTTGTCAAATTCCCGAAGGTCTCAACGAGCTGCCCGAGAGATTCTTCAAGTTTCCCCCGGATTCCCGAGGGATTCCTCTGGATCCCTAAGTCCCTGGGACTTCCTCCGGAAATCCTTGCAACTTCCCTGGGGATTCCTACGGAGTCCTTAGGGCTCCATTCGGATTCTTCAAGGATTCTTGAGGGTTCAATGAGGATTCCCAGGAATTCCTTGACGAATCTTCAGGCATCCCTAGGAATTCCTCCAGGTTCCCGAATGATTTCATCGGATTCTTGAGGAATTCCTCAGGATTCCCAGTGGCATCTCCAGGCATCCAGAGGGATTCCAGAGGATTCCATTGGGATCCATTCCTTGCGGATTCCCTGAGGATTCATTCCCTACACAGGATTCCTGGAGGATTCTTCGGATTCCTTAGGGACTCTCCAGGATCCCTTCGGGATTCCAGGCTTCAGGTTGCGCTGTGGTGTGTTGATCCCCCCCTGCCGAGCCCCCCCCTGCCGACTGACAGGGGGGACGGTGTCGGCCTCCTCCCCGGTGTGAATCCGGCGGATCCAGCCCCGCACCCCAGGGGCGCCTTGCTCGCCTCTACCTTGTTGTGGTCGTCGTCCCACTCGCGATCCGGCCCGCAACCCACCCAAGACCCGCCCTCAACCCATCCGTGACCCACCCGCGACCCACCCGCGATCAACCCGAGACCCGCCTGCGACCCACCCGCGACCCATTCGCGACCCACTCGCGACCCACCCCGCGACCCACCCGCGACCAGCCCGCGACCCACCTGCGACGCACTCCCGGCCCGCCCCTTCGTTCTTATCCGCAATTTCGGGGTGTTGCATATGTCTCCAGTCGAAACTCCGCCGCCGTGCCAGCGCGGCAGCTCAGAGGGAAGGAGATTGAGTTTAGGGTCCACGGCATTTCAGCGCGCTGTCTGAATTGGTCTTGAACTCGACCTCGGTCCCTCGGTTTGGGTGCCGTTTTTCAAGCGGCTTGGAGGGGAAGGCCGTAACATGTGACATTTGTCGTCTCCATTCATTGAGGCGCTCTCATGAGGCCTACGTGGGCTGGCTTTGGGCTTTCTTGGGCTGTCTCGGGGCCCCCATGGGGCTTCTTTGGGCCCCTTCTTGAATGTGTTGGAAGGCTCCGGGGGCTGCGTTGGGATCTTCTGAACACATATGCTAAAGTTTGGAATGTCCTGCAGCCTTGAGTGACGTTGGGTGGGTATTTAACCAATGTTGAGCCATCTTGGCGGCCTTGCTGGCCTTCGTGGGCCGCCTTGGAAGCCTTTGAGAGCCTTGGAGCCTCAGGGTTTTGTCTGGGCGGCCAGCGGGTCTCCGGAGGGGGGGGGGGACGCATGCAGTTGGGCGTGGTGAGACGGGGGAGTGGGTTATCGAGGACTTACAGACGCCCTACCAGGCAGCGGTTGATTCTGATGACGATGCATGATGCCATCACCGTTCTGATATGAATAACCTATCAATCATCATCAGCAGCATCATCAGCATCAGCATCAGCACCATCACCATCACCATCATCATCACCATCATCATCAACAGCAGCAACTTGGTACACTACCATCCCCTAGCGTCCCAGGGGGTCAGGGTGGCGACCATACATAGAGAGAGAAAGAGGGACATGTAACATTAAAAAAGACAATTCGAGCAACGAAGTGGGGGACACTCGCGAATGAAATTGGCAAGTCTCATAAAAAAGCTCCACGCGGAGCGCTTTTTCCGTCCCCCTTTCTCCATGAGGGGGCAGGCAGACGTGTACCGCGAATCGGTTGCCCACAGGCAGAGAATTCCGATCCAGGCGATCCACGACGAGCTGTTCGCGTGAGTCGATATTTCACATGAATCATCACGTGAACCTCTCCCTCTACCCATTCTGGTCGTCGGCGCTACTTTTCTCTGCCCTTTCTTCCCTCCCAGCATGCCTCCTCTCTTCCTGCTTCTTTCTTTTCCTCCATTTCTAGCTCGACTTCCCTGTGTAGCCTCTTGTACCCATGCAATAGCAGCGCTGGTGCCATGTAGGTTCCGGACATGCCTGGACCAGACATCCGCGTTCTGCCACAAAGAAACGTCGCGACCTCTCCCATATTGGCTTAGGATTTAAGAGTTCTGTGCTGGCATCGCGTCAGCCACTGGCACGCGGTGCTCGTGGTAGAAACACAATCGTCCGGAGCGCAAGCGCTGCGACATTCTCAGGGCCCTTCAAGGCAGGACGCTGCAAACCAGGATTCTGCCAGATCCAGCTGCAGATAACGAACAACGGGGAGAAGGAGTAAGGAGGACAAGACAGGACAAGAACCGGTGCGAACCAAGACTCAGAGTGCTGGGGTGACACGTACCCAGGCTACGCCTGCCAGCGGCTGCCGGCGGAACGACTACCTTCTCTGGCCGATTGCGGGACACCTGCCGGGGGAGACCAAGCTGCCCGCATGCGGCACTATCCGTCTTCGAGAGTGGAGAGCGGGGAGAAGTACAGATCGTTTCCAGTCCCAAGGGGCGAGGCCCTGAGCGACTGGAAGCGAGACGGAGAGGGGGAGAGAGGGGGGGGATTTGATTTGGATCGCAACGCTGCCTCACTTGCCCCGCCATGTTTCGCTTCCCATGGGTGCGGCTGCAATCAAATCCTCGACTGCTGTGGTCAGGATCCTCATTGTGCGGGTCGGGGTGGAGAAGACGGCTAGACGCTCGCGGAGTGGGTTGGAGTGGGACTGTCTGAACATTCACGTCTATTCGCTGACCCAGCAGCCATCGCCCCTGGAGAGAAGCCATCGAAAACTCAGTTGCTGGGTCAGGCTCGCCATCCTGATGCAACAAGTTGATGCAGGAGAAATGGGAGTGACGAGGGGGACTGATAAAGAACACGTAGGAGTGCGGTGGAGCGAGAAGGAGCAGGAGGAGGATCAATGAGGACGTGGGGTGAGGAGGAGTGAAGAGGAGAGCGAGCAAGAGGAATCTCCCGCGACGTTGGCCCAGTGGGCTGGCCAGTCGATGTTCACAGGTCGTGTGGTGGCAGATATGTAGCTCAGGACAGGCCTCTGGGAGCTGTCAAAAATTCTGTGGTGACGCTTCGCATGACCCCACCAGCCCATCCAGAAACGTTGCCCAGACGAGTTGCACTGATCAGCGGTGTCGAGGAGCATGCAGTGGAATAGAGGACTGGGTAAGACGGCATGCCCCAAGAGGGGAAGGGTAGAGGAAAAGCAGGAGGAGGAGTAGGGAGGGGAGGGGAGCAGGGAGGAGGAAGGAGGAGGAATATGCGGATGAGGAAGAGGAGGAGGAGGAGGAGGAGGGAGAGCAGAAAGGCTAGAGGCCTCTTAGATGCCTCTCCTCGATGCCTCTCCTCATGGGGCGTCTTGGGGGGTCACTTGGCAGCCCCAGGCGCCACTTGGGGCGTCTTGGGGGCCTCTGGGGGGCCTCTTGGGAGTCGCTTGGGAACCTCGTGGGAGCCCCTTGGCGGCATCTTGGGGGCCTTTGGGGTGCCGCTTGGGACCTCCTGTGCACGTCTTGGGGCCGTCTTGAGGCACCTTTGGGAGCCTCCGGGCCATACTGGAGCCATCGTGGAGGAAATCGAACAAAGAACGGGCCGTAGTAAATTATCGTCCCCCCCAGGAGGCCAAAATGGGCCATAGAAAAATCAATGATTCGGGTTTCCTCACCGAGGCCATCTTGAACGCTCCAACGCGTCGCGAACCCCCCCTCCAGACCCAGGGGGAGGGGGTAATTAGAGGAAGGGGTACACCATTGCAAGCCCCTTCCCGAAGGGGAAGAAGTGGGTTGGAAAAGGAAACGCTCTAAACCACTCACGCTCCCAAGGGCTGGTGGGATCTTGACGCTCGGCTGGGAAACCGCTCGGGGCTGAGGCAGTACAATGTTCTGGCGTGATGTGTGGAAGAAGGGAGGGAGGAAGGGCGTGAAAGGACGGGAAAACGGGGAGGCGGGTGGATCTGTAGAGACCTCGGCTCAAGCCCATGTAGCTCGTGCTGGAGAGCCGGGGCGTGGTGGCGGCCGCCCAGGGCCATGACCTCCAGCAGCTTCGCGCCTGGCCAGGCCGTCAGGCTGGCCGGCCTGGCGAAGATGGCGACGCTGAACGGCACTCCGGGCCTCGTGCTGGCGAGCGCCCGGGGCGACCCGCCGGGCACGGTCAAGGTCAGGCTCAGGACGGGCATGGAGGCCGTGGTGAAGCCAGCCAACCTGGTGCTGGCGCCCGCGGAGCCCGCGCCGGCCGCGCGGCCGCGGTCGCCCCCGGCCGCGCGGCGGGCCTCTCCCAGGCGGCAGATCGCGCCGGAGCAGGCGCAGGAGAACCTCCAGCGGGCCCTGACTGCGGCGGCCGCCGCCGCGGCGAGGAAGCTGCAGCCCGCGGCGTCCCCGGCCCTCTCCTCCACGGCGCCCACGCCGTGGCTGAGCGCGCTCATGAGCAGCCAGGTGGGCGAGCGGCCTGCGCCGACCGTGGAGGACTTCGCCGCGGGGCAGACGGTGAAGCTCGTTGGGCTCGTGAAGATGGCCCACATGAACGGCACCCGCGGCACCGTGCTCGCACTGGGCACGGGCGCGACCGGCGACATCGCGGGCACGGTCAAGGTGAAGCTGAAGTCGGGCTCGGAGGTTGCCCTGAAGCCCGAGAGCAGGGCCCCGTGGACGGGGACCTCGCTAAACCAGGGCGCTGGTCCATCCCTCGCTCCCTCCAGGCGGAATGCTCCAAGCCCTGTTTGGCAAGGTCCTCGTTGAGGGGGCCCTGGGGAGAACCTGGAGGCGCTGTCCGAGGAGCCCGCCGCCGCTGGGGCCCACCGCGAGGCGCAGGACGCGCTGCAGCAGGCCCTGGCCCTGGCCGCCGAGGCCTCGGCCCGGAAGGCGGCGGGGGGCCCCGCGGTGCCGCTGGCCGCTACGGCGAGCCCGGCGCCGCCGAGCTGCGGCGTGCCGGAGACTCGCCAGAGCAGGTGGGCGGGTCTCGTACCGCAGGTTCGTGTCGTGGTCGCCGCGGCGACGACCCCAGCGTGGGCGTTCCAGGTGAAGCGCCGCACAGTGGAGGCCCATGCCAAGAGGCACCCTGCTGGCCTCCAGGGTGCCCTGGGTTTCGACGGCTCTGCTATGGAAGGCGTGGCGTTCCCACACTAGAAATCAGTGGACGTCCTGCGGTCTCAGGGTTGGGTTTCTTGTGGAAGGTTTCTTGTGGACTGGCCTCCACTGTACCGCAGGTTCGTGTCGTGGTCGACGCGGCGACGACCCCAGCGCGGGTGTTCCATGTTCAACGCCATATGGTGCCCCAGAACTGGCAAATACAGTCAACCCGCACGGGAAGAATGGGCAACCTTCCCAAGGGTACCCTTGCATCCTTGCCTCCTCGGCCCATCCTTGGCCGCTTTCGCTGCCCGTGCCCCGCTCGCAAGGTGTCGACGTGGCCCCCCAAGGCCCTTGCATCCTGATCGCGCATCCTTATTATGGTTGACTCTGTGCTGCAGGTTCGTGTCGTGGTCGACGCGGCGACGACCCCATCGCAGGCGTTCCAGGTTTAACGCCAAATGGTGCCCCAGAATCGGCAAGTGTGGAACGATCTGAAGATCGAACAGCCGCCGATCGCTCAAGGTTGAGCGATCCACGCGGTGTCAAGAACCAGCGTTGGGGTCGTCAGACCCTGTCGTACCTTTCCTCGTCCTCCGTGAAAGTCGGTGCGAAGGTAAGCGTTTGGGGTCCGCGCCGATCCAACAAGTCCGTGCGGACCTCCGAAAGTTTATGGCCGTGTCGTTGTTCGTTCCCCTGCCCTCCTCCCCTTCCTCCCCTCTGGCGTGTCGGTAGGGTTGGCTGGGCATCTCGTTTGACACCTGTGCACGTTCTGGTTTTGAAGTTTTGAGCAATCCAACAGTCACAAACATGAGGACCCAATCGCGTCCTGAATCGAGATATCGCTTGACGCTTCCATAAAGTATTTGACTCTGAAGCCGAATGGATGGAGGGCGGCTCGTGTTGTTTCTCAGTTTTTAACATCGGCGATGCATCGGCGATGCGGCTCGATGTGGAGCCCGATATTCTCCACGCCGATGGCGCCGATGCTTCGCCGGCGTCGCCGATGCATCGCCGATGTATCGGCGATGCGGCGCAATCCTCCGACTCCATCTACTCCGACCCCATCTAGGAGGCCTCTACCCTCAGACCTCTCCGAGGCTGCGTTCAGGCCAGAGTTTCGAGGCGAATCCAGCGGCGGTGACGAGGGCCTACCAGGAGGCCGAAAAAGGGGAAAAGAGGCGCAGGGTAGAGGCATCGGTACAGTCAACCCGCACAGTGAGGATGAGCGATTTTCCAAGGTCATCCTCCCATCCTTCCCGTTCGGCCCTTCTTTGGCCCCTTTCGGTGGCCAGTCCCACCCGAGAAACGTCAGCACGGCCTTGCAGGGCTCGGGGGTGGACAGAACCCCCACCCTGACACGTCGATTAGTGAATTGTCCATTCTCGGTTCTCGAGAGGGCGCCGCGGCCCGCCAGGCTTGGGCCCGAGGTCGTTTTCACTGAACCACGTTTACGGGGTTCTGTCCATCCCCGAAGGGCCCTTGCACCCTTACCGCGCACCCTTGCTAGACGGGTGGGCGGTACTGCAGAGGAGGGAGCGGCGGTACTGCACAGACACAATGAATTGTCGATCCCCAAGAAAATACAGGAAAATATGGGAATTGGGCGGGAAGAGAAAAACCCAGAAAATATTTGAAAATATGGGGAATATTTTTATTGGTGTGTATTTATTTGTGTGTCCTTGGGCCCCTTGAGTTTCAGGGCAGGGGCCCTCGGGCGCTCTCGTCGGTTCTCCCGGCCATGTCCCAGCCTCGGGGTGCGCTCCAGCCGCTGCGCTCCGCGGAGAGCGCTCCAGGGTTGCCCACGCTGCGGGAAAAGTCACGACCGGGGGGGGGGTCACTATGTTCGGTCTTCCGGGGCCCTCGCCGGGCCTCGGGACCGTCAAAAAAAACGATTCGGGATGAAAAACAAGTCCCCGGGAAAGGGTCCAGACTTCTGAGGGTCACGTCACGAAAAAGTCATGACGTCGGGGGTCTGGGAAGACTGCAGCTGCAAGCAGCTCGTTTCGGCCCCGACGCCGGGTGCGGTCCTCGACGCACTGCTGCTTCAGGAGCAGGGAGACGCCAGAAAAACGAGCTGCCGGCAGCTGATTCGCTAAGTCCGCCCGGGTGAGGGACGCAGGGAGGATTAGCAAGAAGTCATGAGAATGATGCGTTCCAAGATGTCCTAGATGTCTTATTGTTCCGAACGTATCATGACGTCAGTCTCGGCATTAGAAAGGCCGCAGCGCAGCATCAGCGATGTGTGCTGGGTTCACTCTGGTCCCCCGTCCTCCTCCAGACTTCCAGGGCAGGTTCAAGGAAACGTGAGTTGTCGGTGGCGAGATTGAAAATGAGAAGGAGAAGGCCTTCTCAGAAGATTCGGAAGTCATCGGGCCTTCTCAGAAGTTTTCTACGACTTCCCCGAAGACCGCAAACCTTCTCAGAAGGCGCGAGGGCTTCTGGGAAGCCCCGCCGCCTTCTGAGAAGGTCTTCTCCTTCTCATTTCCCCCCCCTCGCACGCCGCCAAGATTGCAGGGGGGGAGAGGGCTCGCGTCAGAGTTCAGACTCGGCCCCCGTCCTTACTCTGGCAGCCCCCTGAGGCCGTCCCCCGGACTGCAGCCTCACGTCGGATATTAGGGGAACAAAGAGTGACATAAACATAAAAACTCGGAGGTCCGCGCGGATTTCTCGGATCGGCGCTGGGGCCCCCCCGCGGCGCCTCCGTCGCCGCCCCTGGCGCGCTCCGCGCGCCAGGGAGGGGGGCCCAGCGCCGATCCGAGAAATCCGCGCGGACCTCCGAGTTTTCAGGTTTTTGTGACTTTCTGTTCCCCTAGAGATGTGCCAGCCAAAACGACGGCGGCTCTCCCGCACGGCCCCGGACCCGTTCCGCATCGGTCTCCCGGGACCCGGCCCTAATTCGGGCGTGTCCCTCTACAGGGGGGAATATCAAAAAATAGTCAAGGAATAGTCTGGGGACGATTTTTGCTGCCTATTTTTGAGCATCTGGGGGGGGTATGTTTTGGAGTGCCCAAAATCCCTCTGAGCATTAGGGGGTTTCTGAGCTTTTTTTTACTTTAGAGTATTAGGGGGACGCCCCCGATTTGGACCCCGCCGCCCCGTCCCCATGGGGGCTCGGCGCGGGCTTCCGGGGCTGGCTCTCCGGCCGTGGCGGGGCGAGAGGCCTCCTCAGCGAGGCCCCGTCAAGGAGGAGGGGGCCCACAGAGGATGGACAGAGCAAGGGCGCCCTCCAGGGCGCCCTCGAGGGGACGGAGCCAGGGCGCCCTCGAGGGTGCGAAGTCATTCGCGCTTCGCGCTTCGCGGCTCGGCCCCGATCCCTCCTCCTCCTCCTTCTCCCCTTGGGAGGCGGCGCGAGAGAGCGCGAAGCGATTCGCGCTTCGCCCTCCGCGCGGCGCGAGGCGCGAAGGTGGGAGCCCACTTGGCAGGGCGCCCGGGGAGGGCCGCTGCCGTCCCCGGGAAGGCCTGCGTCCAACTGTTCCCCCCTCTCCAGGAGGGGAAGAAGAACGCACAGACACAATGAATCGTCGATTCCCCAGAACATGTGGGGAAGCACAGTGAGCGGCTTGAATAAGGAACGCTTGCTTTTCAAAAGGGGCTCGGTCGTTCCTTAGGCTTGCATGCGTTATTTATCGTTCCCTATGCGTTACGTATTATTTGTTCATCGTTCCCTACGCGTTATTTCTTGGAAGAAAGGGGCTTCGTTCCTTATTTATCGTTCCTTAGGTCAGGCCGATGACTGTATGGGAAGTGGGGGGGAAGGCAAAAACCCAGAACACATGCGAAAATATGAGGGGTCCTGTTATTTGTGTGTATTTATATTTGTGTGTCCCAGGGCCCCTTCGAGAGGATGGGCAGAGCGCCGGGGAGGGTCGCTGCCGTCCCTGGGCATGCCTGCGTCCAACTGTTCCCTCCTTCCAGGAGGGGAAGAAGAACACACAGACACAACAATGAATCGTCGATTCCCCAGAACATGTGGGAAAGAATGGGAAGTGGGGGGGAAGGCAAAAGCCCAGAGAACATGCGGAAATATGAGGGAGTCATGTTATTGGTGTGTGTATTTTACTTGTGTGTCCCAGGGCCCCTTCGAGAGGGTGGACAGAGCGCGGGGGAGGGTCGCTGCTGTCCCTGTGGATGCCTGCGTCCAACTGTTCCCCTTTCCAGGAGGGGAAGAAACACACAGACACAATGAATCGTCGATTCCCCAGAAAACTGCGAAAATCTGGGAAGTGGGGGGGAAGACGAAAACCCAAACATATGGGGAAATATGGGGAATCATGCTATTTGTGTGTATTTATTTGTGTGTCCTTGGGCCCCTTCAGAATGCCTGCGTCCAACGTTTCACCTTCGCCGCCAGCGTTGCCCGTCACGGCAGGCCTGTTGTTGCATCTTCGCCGTCCCCACGAGCGGGGCGTGACGCTTTCGGACGCCCGATGGGACCTTTGCCCCTTTGCCCCTTGGTCGCTGTTGTCCACGATTGGCCATCCTCCAACTTCCCTCCCAGGGGGGGACAGCAGATGGGGCGGGAGGATCGCGCCGCATCGCCGAGGCATCGGCGATGGGGCTCGATGTGAAGCCCGGTGTTACTATACGCCGGCGTCTCTTCGGCGGCGATCACTGGGGGACGATGAATGGGGGGTGCAGCGAGGGCTGCCGAAAAGGGGCCTTTCGGGGCCCCAAAGAGGACCCTTTAGGACCCAGAAGGGGGCCTTCAGAGCCCCCCCCATTTTTCGCCCCCCATTCATTCGCGCCCATGTCTCCGACGCATCACCGACGTCATCGACGATGCGGCGCAATCCTCTGGCCCCATCTATTCTGACCCCATCTGGGCGGTTTCTAGACTTGCGTCTCCCCGACGGTTTTTTTTCCGACTCCGCCGATCGGTCAATTTTCCGCCTTGGGGCGAAGATGGGGCCTGGGCCCCAAACGATAACCGAAAATGAGCGTGCAGGTCAAGGCGATTTGGCTGCCTCCCCCCATCCACGACGACGACGACGACGACGACGACGGCCATGACAAACGAACCTGGGAAATCATCGAATTTGACACGCCGGCTGGTGCGACGCCTCGTCCCCCGACAGGTGGGCCAGATGGATGGACGGGGGCGACGCGGCCCTGCTGGCGCCGCCGCTGCCACCAGACGCGCAGCCGCCGCCGCCCGCCTGAGAGTGGCGGCCCCCATCCGCCGGAGGCGCTGTGGACCCCCGCCCTCCACCTACGGCTCCTGTTCCAGCTCTGCCTGCTCTTCGTCCTCTTCCTCCTCCTCCTCGTCCTCCTCCTCCTCCTCCGCCTCCTCCTCCTCCTCCTCATCCTCCTCCTCCTCCTCCCCCGCGCTCCCGCCCGAGAAACAATTTTACAGGTTGGTTGAAGAGAGGGACGCCCATGTCAAGCGGATGGAGAAAGAACTCGACCTGGTCGACAAGTGGGAGAAGAGTATGGTTCGGCAGAGGCAGAAGATCCAGGACCTCAGCGACGAGTTGGACTCCTACGACGCCCAGATTGCAGGGCTCAAACTCAGGCTCTCCGAGCACTCCCAGCAGGCAGCCGACGCCGAGGCTGCCGCGTCTGCAGGTGCGCGTTTGGACTCGCTCCTGGACGGCTCTTTCAGGATCGATTGTGGGAACCTGTTCGAGGTGGGTGACGAGGAGTATGAGCTGTCAGACACAGACAAGCAAGAACTCCAGCAGCGCAAGCAGCAACTGGAGTCGCTCATTGCAGACAATGCAAAATCGCTCTTCGCACAGGCAAAGGAGCACTTCGAGAAACTCAAAGCCGAGCACGCCGCCTTGTGCTCCAGGCTCACGAAGAAGCGCAAGACCGAGGATGGCACCGCGAGCGGGTCGGCAGGTGAGGCAGCGGCTGCCTCTGGCCGTGGGCAGGGCACCGCCCAGGCGCCACGGTCGCAGGCGGACCCCTCGGCGGAGATGCCCACAGTGGTGCCTGATGTTCGGACTCGTGCTCGGGACAGTAAGGCCAAGTTGGAGCAGGCAGGGGCCCCCGCAGGCGCCGTTGCCTGAGAGGGCCCAGCCCTACCGTTCTGAGGGCGCTCAGCCAGTGCGGCCGAGAGGCTGCCCGCCGCTGGACGTGTTGCCAACATCCTGGGCTTCGAATCCTGAAGACCTAGATTGGCCAGGCCTGAAGTTCCCTGTCGCAGCTGCAGCTGGCCTAGACGAGCGGTTGCTGGCTGGCCGTTGGCACCTACAGCCAGTGCCTGCGGCCATGGAGAGGCCGCCGAAAGGCGCGGGGGCAGGGGATTCAGCCCCCGACCGTCGAGCCCCCGCGCCCACATGGACAACCCGTTCGGCTACCCGCTCCAAGGCTACTGGCACGAGTGGATCGTGGGCGCCTTCTGCTGCGGCTGCTGGGGCACAGGCCCCCATCGGGGCCAGCAGCGACGCCGCCGCCGCGGAGACCCCAGCAGCCTGGGGGACCGCCGCCGCCGCGCCTCTGGTACCTGAGGGGGGCCCAGCCACATGAGCGACGCGGAGGGGCAGAGGCCTCTCCCTCGGCCAGCGCGAGCGCCGCCGCCGCGGAGGCCCCAGCATCCCGGGGACCCGCCGCCGCCGCGCCGCTGGCCACTGGAGAGGCCCAGCCACATGAGCGACATGGAGGCGCCCCAGAGGGGCTCATTCGTCGTCACGCGGCCGGCCCCGATGGCACGCACTGCTCGCCTCCAGCCCCAGCGGCAACTGAGGTTGAGGGTACCGACCATCGGGGAGCCTCGACTGGCGAGAACGCGAGCCTGAGCACGAGAGACCCCGCAGGGGCAGGTTGTGACCCTCCCCTGCTGGGCGCCCTGTCCACGGGGAAGTCATCCGTCGCCGTGGGGAATGATGGTGGAAAGCTCTTGGCTCAGGCAGATATCGTGACTGGGGGCGCTGCTCAGCCACCTTGCACTCAAGACAGGGGGGCCAAGGTCATGGGCGCTCTCAACGACGACACGCTCACGCTGATTACGTACAGTGGCAACGCTTGTTCGACGGCTCAGGCGGCCATGGAGAGGATGCACCACGAGGTGAAGCGTGAGGTTCACAACTTGCGTTTTCAGGAGACGCGTTTGCAGCAGGGGAGAGCGGCGCCCCCAACCTCGAGGGCAGGCAAGGCGGGCTTCACGATGCACGCTGGGGCGGCCGCGGTCACAGGCGAAGGGGCCCTGGAGCTCTCAGAAGAAGCGGCCACACGGTCGCGGGCCTCGGTCGGGGCCAGGTCCTTGGAGGAGGATTCCCCCGAGAGAGTGAGGCTTCGCTTGGTCGCCCAGCTGGCTTCAGTGACGTCGGATGTCCAGTTTGCGTTCGTCTCGGCCTACCTGGGGGCGAACGAAGGCCCGGGCCCGACCAACCAGGACTTGCTGGCAATCTCGGGCGAGTTCATTGACGCATTGGAGTGGCCTGCGGCGGTCGGCGGCGACTGGAACATTACCGGGGGCGAGATCGTTGCCTCTGACTGGCCAGGCCGTCGGCATGCGCAGTCTGTTGAGCTCGAGGACGACACTTGCAATGACAATGTCTTTGGCTTCCTTTTGAGCTGGCAGTGTCTCCGCCCATGTGTTTTTAGAGCCCAGGCGCTTCTGGGCACGCCCAGGGGCCCACGCGCTGCGGTTTCCCTGGAGCTCAAAGGCCTATTAGGCCTTGCAAAAGTGTGGCTGCGTTTTGTGCCCTGTGGTTTTCCGCCCGACCCTCCCACCGATCCAGACGGATCGATGGTCCCAGGGGCCGATCGTTCAGGCAGCGTTTGGTATTGGGTAGCTGGGCCCCTCCCTCCGAGGCCCCTGGAGGCGGCTAAGGAATGGTCTAAAGCTGCACAGTTCTTCTTGATCAGCCCGCGCCAGATCCCAGCAGGGGACGTGGCCAAGCTTCCAGGCCGTGCGCAGGGATGCCAGTTTCAACCGATGCCGCCCCGCGCAGCCTGGGGCAGCGAGTTTGCGCGTCGCTCGACGGCCAGCTCGGCGAAGCGGCGCCAGCTCAGACGAGTGCTGACGCAGCTGCCAGGGCTGACCAATATGAAAGGGCGTCGGACAGGGGGTGACTTGGGGGAGGCTCTGGAGGGCGCTCGATCAGGTCAGTCCCTGTTTGTTGTCGGCGGAGGCCGAAGGGCTAAGCGCCATCGCTGGTCGTGAACTGCTGGAAGGTCGGCAGGATCCCGACAGGTGCCCAGACCTCGTTGCCGCCACTGCCAAGGAAGTAGGTACCAGGCTAGCCAGTCAAGCGTCCCAGGCCAGGCAGGCCTGGCAGAATTTCGCTCAGTCTTCAGTGCTCAGGGGCGGGCGCATCGCTCACATTGGGGGCGAGGCCGCGGTGTCTGGGCATGTGGCTAGGGCCTTTAACGTTGTTGCTGCCGATGTGCAGGCACGCAAGCGGCCGATCTCGTGGGACAAGGCGGGAGCGCTGGCCAATACCAGTGCACTTGCGCCTGCCTGGGCGGCAGAGCTGCCCCCGCAGTTGGCTGCCAGCCGAGAGTCAGCTCACAGAGATCTGGGGGGGGGGGGGGGGGGGATGCGTCGGACGGTCGGGGGATCGACTGGGATCAACGATTATGCTCGCCTGCCTGCACTGCAGCTCTGTTTTCGTTCGCGGCTAGGCGCGCCTCGGACGTCCGAGCGCTAGGCCTGCGGGACGACGCCTGGGTCTCCGACGGGTGCTGGAGGCCCCTACTAGATCTCCCAGAGGTGTGCAAACGTTGCGAAGGAACCCGGGGAACCATGGTTCACCGTTGCTATGCCTGCCCCGCGCACGATGCCTTTCAATGGGGCAGCATGCCCACGGAGTTGGCCAGGTCGGTCGACAGAATGAGGCAGATGCACGGCGCCCTCCAGCTGCTAGTCGTCATAGAAGGAGGGTACGTCTTCACTGATGGGGCGGGGCTGGACCAGCACCACCCGCCCCGCAGAGGTGCAGGCTGGAGAGTGGTGCTACATGACTCCGACAGGTGCTACGTTGGAGCGATGTTTAAAGCAGTGCCGCCTGACATCGGCATCTTGGGCGCGGCCAGAGTTGGCGAGGACTTTTCCACGCTGATGCGCGCCCAGAATGTTTTGGGTCGGCTCACTGGGCGGGCAGACTGCAAGAGTACACTAAGTGGCTGCCAGTCGTCTAAATTAACAACTTCAGTGTGCAACCCGCGGGCCCACCTGTGGAGGCGGGGGCATGTGCGCGAAGATATCCGTGCTCGGCCGATGGGGCACGTCAAGGCCCACACGTCGGCCGCCAGCGTAGAGAGGGGCCTGATTTCGCCTCTCGACAGAAACGGCAACAATGCTGCAGAAGGGGTCGCCAGGTGTGGGGCGGCCTATGCCAGTGCCGCCGTCTGTGACTTAGAGCTGGTAGAAGGGTGCCAGTCGTTTGCCAAGCTCGCGACCAAGTTTTCGGCCCAGCTTGCGGCCTCGATGGCCTCGTTTGAATTTCGGGACAATGCCAGGGCCGTGTACCTCAGGAAAAGCGACCTGGGGCTGTGGCACTACCGCGGTTTGTCGGCCCCAGAGGTCCCTGAGGCGGAGTCCATCGACGTGGTCCCCCCTCCTCCTGCGCCTCCTGCTTGTGCTGCTGCGTCCGCGCCTCCTGGGCCCGCCTCAGAAGACCCCGACTGGCTTCTAGGCAAGGGCGTTCAACCCTGGAGGGTGAAGGGGCACGGCGCGGTGCGGAGCTCCGTGCCCAATGGCTCCCCGATCTTTTCTTTTTGCCCGTCGTGTTGGCTATTTGCGGCCACCCCGTTGCGGCGTGGTCTTGCAGGTGTCTGCAAGGGGCCCGTGAAGCTCTCGGGTGGGTCAGCGTGCACTGTCCGTCGGAGGTTGAAAGAAGGTTTTCATCCTGTGGGGCACCCTCTCGTGGCGCTCGGGCCCTCGGAGGCCCCGCCCGTGGTGACCAGGGGCCGTTTCTCCCGGCGTTTCGGGGAGGCCCCTGGAGGGGCGGCCGCGGCTCCAAGTGCGCCGAGGGTGGCCCCTTTTTCGTGGCAGGCCGAGGCCTCGCGCCTCGGCTTGGATTCCGTGCTGCTCGCTTTTGGTTTCAGCTCCAGAGAGGAGGGGCATGAGCGTGGTCGGCAGATGCTCCTCGATCGAGCCTCTGCCCACGCCAGGGCGGCGAGTGCCGCGGACCCAGAGGCTGAAGTGCAAGTTTCTGGGGGGGCGGGGGGCCCTGTCGGCTGGGCCCGCCCGAGGTGGGTCACAGCCTCGGGCGGGAACAAAAAGATCTCGTCTGAAGGGCGCACCCACCCCAATTTTCCTTTCTCCCCCCTGACCCTCTTCCCTCTAAGGGCAGTGAACCTCTTCCTCCTCCTACTCCTCCTCCAGCCCCTCTGGTTCTGGCCTGTTTGGAGGAACTGGGGGCACCTCGCACCGAGGCAGAGTTGATGCAGGTCGCCCTCCCACAGGACCTGCGCGAGCCGCCATGGCGCCAGTGCTGAGGTCGACCCTCCGCCTCCTGGCGTTCAACCCGGTCCACGCTGTTGGAGCTCGGCTCTCGGAGCTGCTGATTGGCTGTCGGGCTGCGGACGCGCTCCTCCTCGCGGGCACCAAGGTGCAGTGCCACTCTGGAGGAGAGGGAGTGCTCCGCCGTCGATGCGAAGGACGGCTCGTGCTGGAGGCGCCGTACACCAAGGGGGCGTACACCAACCGCAGCGCCGGGTGCGCCATCGCCCTGGGGGAAACATTCCGCGGCTGTCACGTTGTCCGAACGTGGGTGTCGCCACATGGTGCGGGAGGGCGGGCCCTCGCGGCTCGGACTCGCAAGGGCTGCCTCGACATCCTCGTCGGGGTCATCTACCTCCCGCCGCAGCCGAGGGAGCGCATCCAGGTCAGCCGCTATCTTCATACCGCGCGGCTGCTGAGAGAGCGGTGGCAACGGATAGTTCAGGGGGCGCCTACGAGGACGTTGCCAATTTTTTACGCCGACCTCAACGACGAGTTGGGGATCCAGAAGCAGGTGGGGGGATGGTCCACACCGCCGTCCCAGGCTCTTGGGCACCTGCGTTGCCGTGAGCAGCGGCGAGCTGCTGGAGAGGTGGTGGGGGCTTACTGGACGCCCAGCACATGGCCGCCCCGTCCACCTTCGCGGACAAGGTTGAGTACACATTCTACACGACCAGGACACCATCCTCGGGCTCGGTCATCGATCATTTTTCATCCCGCAGGATTGGCTGCCCCGCGTGCTGCGCTGTCACGTCCTGCACGGCTTGGGAGCACAGTGGCAAGTGTTGCCAGGGGCGCCGCCGAGGGGCCACCTCCCCCTCCTGCTCGAGCTAGCGTACGAGAAGTATGCCTGGGCCCTGCCGCCGATGCCCCCACCGCGCCTGGACTCCACGAGGTTGATGCAGGCTGTCCGCCACGGAAGGGGAAGGAGTTCTTGGAGGATGTTATGCGGCGGATTCGGGAGAGGAGTGAATATATATATCGACGGATGTATGATGGAGGGTACCCCCGACGCGATCTGGGAGGAGCTGGAGAGCATCCTCACGGCGTCGGGAGCCGCGCACTTCGTGGGAACACCTGGAGGAGATGCGCGCAGCCAGCGATGTGCTAGTCGACGCGAACTCCTCCAGGAACGCCCCCGACTTCGACAAGAACGATTGGATGCAAATCAGGATCGAATTCGGGAGCTGGAGGTGGCGCCCAAGACTCTCGGCCGAGCTGAAGTCGGAGCACCGTGCCCGCAGGATCGCAGAGAAGAACCAGCTCCAGGAGGAGGTACATGAGGCCTGGGAGAGGAGGGATATGGCCGAGGCGATGCGTCTTTCACGGCTACTCGGACATTGCCGACTGGGCGCGAAGCGACGAGACGGACGCCGCCTTGGCCCCCCCCGCTGCCACGGCCGGAGTGGGTCGAGGCTTGGGGGAGGCCAGGCGCCCAGGGGCGCATGAGGGCACACGAAATTGGTTGGAGTGAATGGCTCGCAAGCAGAACAGGCACCCCCCCCCTGCCCCGCCCGCGGACTCCACGGACATCAGTTGCGCACAGGAGGACTTCAAGGAGCTGAGGCGCTACGCCCGTCGCGCCAAGAAGAGGCGCGCAGTTCCAACTGGTGCGGCGGCGCTGGAACTCTGGGATCCCTGCCTCTGGCCCGACAGGGCCATGGATCATCTTCCTCATGGCGCGGGCTTCGAGAGGACGGCGCAGGGGATGCAGCTGTTCGACGAGGCCCTCCTGCGCGCGCTGACGCTGATCAGGCGCACGGAGAAGACGCCCCTGTACTGGCGCCGCAGAATGGGTATCGGACCCGCCAAGAATGGCAAGCCTGGCATGAAGGGAAGGCGAGTTATTCACTCTCTCCCTGCTGTGGGGAAGGGCTATTTCGCGCGCAAGCTCAAGGCGCAGCTGGCCCCGCAGGATCATGGGTTCGCCCCCCCACCGACGCAGGGAGGGCGCTCTGTTGGCGACTCAGGTGCTGGCCTGGCGCCTGAAGCAGTCGGGGTGGTCGTGGGTGGCAGCCCTGAAGGATATGGCGAACGCCTTCGGCAGCGTGTCCTGGGGCAGGTTCGATGAGGCCATCCTCGACGAGGGCGTGGTGGAGCCGCAGAACCAGAAGCTCTGCCGCGACAGGCGCCGCCTGTCAGTCGCGGAGGTGGGCGCGAGCGACGGGGCCCTCTTCCTGGAGACGGGCGAGGGTGGACTCATGGGGGGCCCGTTCGTGGCGCAGGCGTCCGCGGCGGCCTTTGTCGCCCCCGTGGACAAGTGGCCCCGGCAGCTGACGCCGGAGGGGGTCACGGGACCGCTGCGCGGGGGGGTCGAGGATTTCACGATCGACGTCTCGCTGTCCAAGTACGCCGGCGACATGTGCCGCGTCATACCCCTGGAGGTCGGCCGCGACATGGACGAGGCCCTCAGGAGGATGAAGCGCAGCGACGACATCCTGGACGAGTGCCTCTTGCAGCATGGGTTGGCGCAGAATCGTGACAAGCAGGTGGCGTGCTTCATGATCCAGGGGGCGGGCTCGCAGTGCAAGCGTTGGCTCCAGCATGCCATCGCACGGGGCCGAATGGACGGACGAGCCGAGGAGGCGACGAGGTACTTGGGGCCGATCGTCACGCAGGACGCCTCAGCGGCGATCGGGGTGGAGCGTAGGATGGTGACCGCCCGTGCCGCTTTCTGCGCCATGGCAGGCTTTTGGTCTGCCAGCGCGCCGCGACGCTGGCGGCGCACGGTAGTGATCGGTTTAGTGCAAAACACCCTCCTGTCGGCACTTGAGGTTTTTTGTTGCTCAGCCCCCGTCAACTTGCCCGTCAACTCTCGCTCCTGGACCACTGTCTCGCCTCCTTCTGCAAGGTCGCCACGCATGGAGCTGCGTGCGAACGCAACGAACAAGGGGAGGTCACTGACCGCATGTGTTCCCTAGAGATTCTAGCCTCTTGGGAACTAGTGCCCTGCGAAACGCAGGTCCGAATTCGTAGGCGAGTCTGGCATCAATCTTGGGCCGCTCGGACTCGGGCGCACGCGCGCGTTCTGGCCGTGCTCTTTGGGGCCCTTGTTTTTGAACCTGCGGAGAAGCGGCCGTGCACAGCTGATGGCCTTGGTCAGCTTGCGAGCCCCTGGCCAAACGCATCCAGGATGACGCTCGAGCCGCGATCGAAGTCATGCCCGATGACAGGGATGTGCATCTGCGAGTTGCTGACTGCCCCTGGCTCCTTATCGAAGATAAAGCATTACCTGGGGATTTCGTTCGCCTCGATTTCAGACGTCTGCGCAGTCACCATTTCACGGCCACGATTGCGCCCCTTGGCCCAGTTCGCGGCGTCTCGGACCCTGGGGCCCCTGGTGGGCTCGACCCCTCCCCCGACCCTGCTGCCCCGTACGTGTGCTCCTGGGCGACAGGGGGGGGCGCAATGTGGCGCTTCTTCCTGCACGAAGCGGGTCCTCACTGAGCACTTGAGGCACGGGCACGTCGTTTATATTTTAGCTGCACTGCTTTGCCCGCCCAACGAATGCATTGCGCGTAGGAAGGTTCTCTGGAATAGGCAAACGGCCCATCGACGCCTCGAGGGCTCGATATTCAGGGGGGCACTCTGGCACGAGAGGGCCGAGGGCATTTGCGACCAGAGCTGAACCGAGGGATCTTGGGCGCCGCATTTGTTCGTGCGAGTCGGCCAACTACAACGACCTCTGTAGCCATATTCGGGCTCATCTTCCCTGGTCGGTTTCCTCGGGGGCGTGTTTCCTCGCGCGACAGCGTCTCCGCCATGACCCCGGACGTGGCGATGCCCTCTCGGATGGCGAGGGCGGCCTCGCCCCCTGCATCGGCGCTGCGCCCGAAGCGGGGCAAGGCAGGCAACCCCAAGGAGAAGGCCGACCAGCAGCTGGCCATCATCGCGAAGCTCGCCCTCGCCGCGGCCCGACAGGCAGCGCAGCTCGAGAGCGCGTGCTACACCACGATGTTCATCAGCGAGGCCGAGGGCAGACTGGGGCAGGCGCGCCGCAAGAGCGGCATCGACTACGACGGCGAGAGCAAGAGGCTCCGCGAGAGGGTCGCGGGCGGGGAGTCGGTCGGCTTCAAGGCCCGCGGGCCGCCCCACGCCCACCTCTTCGGCGCCGCAAGCGCAGCATGGGGATCACTGCGTCGGGGGGGGGGGGGGGGGCGAACGCAGACGGGCACAAGATCTCCCTGGAGTACTGGCAGCAGGTCATCGTCGCCAAGAAGCCCCAGGAGATCGCGGAGGAGGTCCTCCACTGCAAGTACCGCAAGGCGAGGGCCACGGGAGAGGACGCCAAGGGGGTCCTGTCGTTCGTGCTGAACTCGAGGGCGCCGTCCGCCAACTCTCTGTACCCGGTTCTTGTGGACGACCCCTCGAAGGTGGAGAAGGCGGAGGCGGTGCACGGTCCCGCGCCGAGGGGCCCCTTGGAGCGAGAGGCTGGCGACTTGCTCCAGGCTCTCAATCAGCTTTGATGGCCATCAGTGAGAGGCCGGCATCCTTGATAGCGAGGGGCATTGTCAGCCCTGCAGTTTTGTCCGCCCCCAGAGCGGCGACGGAGTACGCATCGCCGCTCATGCCCACGTCTGCTGCCCAAGCGCCGAGCCCGACCCGCCGTGCGCGTAGAAGGAGAGGAGCGGGAGGCGGGGGCGCTGCAGTTCCGAGCCAGCCCGTGTCGGTCGCCTCCGAACCCAATGTTTTAAGGCGTACCTCGGACAGTGCATCCCGACCCCCTGCGCTGGAGTTCATTTCTTCGAGGGAGGTCGGGGCGGCGTGTGCCAGCAATAGCGGTGCCCACAGGGAACGGCTCGCGGATGGGACGGGCGGGAGGTAGGAGGGTGGGTCGGGAGTGACGGATCCGCGAGCTGGCCCCCGCGCGGGGGGCGCCCGCCAGGCTGCGCGCCAATCGGCCGCGCGGGCGGCGCCCAACAGGCCATGGCGGCCACGACAATTGACCAGTCCTCTTTCGATTGTCGTGAAGCGACGCCCAGGTGCGAGTCAGCCTCGAGACTTCCGTCTTGCCGCGCCCAAGGGTTCCGAGCCGAGCCGAGCCTCCACCTCCTCCTCTCCCTCCAAGTCGGCGTTGGAGCTCGAACAAATTCAGCCCCGACGGAGGAAAGATTCTCATCCACCCCACACGATTTACTGACTCTGACACCCACACAGGTTGTTCGGCCGGGGCCAGGGCAACAAAACGCAGCAACCCCTGCAGCTCTTCCAACGCCCCACCTCTTTGCGATCCTCTCTGCGTGACTGGGTCGCGATTCGGTGATGGACAATTCTTGCGCCGCATATTTTTAATTTTCGGTCAAAGATTTGAGTGCGACCTCGGGCGCGACGAGCCAAAGACGCAAGGAACGGGCCCGCCGCGCCCATGCCCGGAAACGCCAGCTTGCCAGGGTTGCAATTAGTGAACAGGTGGTTGCACACGCCCTGAGACACGCTGTTTGTTGGACAACGTCGGTGGAAAGAGAGAGAGCGCAGGGGCCGCCGCCACAGGTTGCGCAGATGGGCGCCGACATCCTGGCGGGCAACAGCGACGGCGAGAGGGGCAGGCAAAAGGCAACGGGGGATTTTGCAGAGTTTGCTCGGCCCCCCCTTCCCCCTGCGCCCCGCGGGGCCCAGGGGGATGAGCTGCCAGGGGTGTTCGCTGAGCCGCCTCGGTCCCCCTCAGCGCCTGCGCCCTCTCGGGCCCAGGAGCAGCCCACCACGGGCGAATCCAATCGTTTGACGTAGCTGTTCCACGAGATAGAAGAACAACTGCGCATATGGAATTCGATTGGCAGCGCTTCGCACTCGCCCGTACCCCGGCGAGCCAAGCTGGACGGCAAAAGTCCGCGGGAAGTTGAGGGCCTCGAGGCTCGGAAGCAGCCGGCGAGTTCCGATGGAGAAGTTCGGAAACCCATGCCCGAACCGAAGTGCGTGGAAATGTTGCCCCGGGAGATCGAAGCACGACTGAACCAATGGAACCCGATCGGCCTTGCTTTGCACTCGCTCGTTTGCCGGAGGACGAAGTTGGATGAACCTCGACAACCCATGGACTCCCGCGGCGAGACGGACGAGAAGGAGGTCTGGACAGATGGAGGTCAATCCAAGGATTTGGGCATGTTGCCCCAGGAGATCGACTCGTTCGTTCGCCGGATAGCGAAGGAGGTCTGGGAAGATGGAGGCCCCGAGATTCAAAGGCCACCGGGTGGTGCCGATTGCGAACTTCGCAAACCCATGCTCCTCAAAGATGGCCCTGAGATCGCAGCGCTCCTGGGGCTCTTCAGTTGATCGCGACCCTCGAAGGAATGACTGAGGGCGTCTTGCAAACAATGCGCACGGAAGGGGGGGTACCCATTGGATAATTTATTGAAGTATTGGACTGCGCAGGTGCGGGGGAGGTGGAGAAGGAGTAGGAAACTGCGGCGAATGGACCGGCACAATTTCCCAACGGAGGCTCTCTCTGACCTCGTCGCTGTTAAAGACACAGCCGGCGAAGGGTTTGTCATCGAAGAGCGGGCGCGGAATCGCAACGGATGAATTTTGGATGGCGTCTACGACAGCATGTGGAGCAATTGTGGCCCGTATCTTCCTGCGGAAGAATTGCGGCGCCAATTGGCAAACAGCGGCGCGGTCCGTACTTTGCGAGAAGTGGAACACGCTCTGGCAAAGCCCCGTTGAGAGACAAGCACGCAAGTGCTGCCGCGTGAAGATTCAAGCGCAGGCCAAGTTGCACGCTTAAGTTGGAGGCGAATTCGCACACGCAGCCTTTCTCTCTTTGGACGGAGATGTCATGCGAATATTCAGCACGCGCATGTTTGCCCTGATTTTCTGAGTTATCGAGCGCGACCTCGCAGGAGACGACAAGACGAAGTGACAGGAGAGCCGGCGCGAGGTGAAAGAAACAAGAGCAGGGGTCGTGCATTTCTGAGCGCGTTTGGCGCGGGGGACAGCATCTGTCTCGGCGCAGGGGGCGCCGATCGCACTAGCGAGGGCATCTCGGAGTGCATGGTGCCTCCCTCTCTTCTCTCCCTCCGTCCTCCTATCCGTGGGACAGAGCGGAATATGGTTCGCGCGTTGAAGAGGGGCTCCAGGAACCCTTCGCTCGCACGCGCCACTGGCAACTCAGCGCCAGCGGCGCCGCACCCCTCGGTTTCATCGGAGAGCTACTGACTGGTAATACAGGGCCTTCTGCGAACGGGCCGCGCGCTCGCCTGCGGTGGAGGGGGGGAGCGCCGGCCTTGGCAGTTTCTTCGGTAAGGCATCGAAGAGTTGTCGAGTCCTTGCTGCATAACACTCACGCAGGGGAATTACGCATGCGCTCTGCACTGCACCTTCGCGAGCGCATTGACGTTGACCCCCTCATGCGGATGTCCTGTCCTGTCCTGTCCTCCTCCTCCTCCTCCGCCTCCGCCTCCTTCTCCTCTTCCTCCTCCTCCTCCTCCTCCGCCTCCTCCTCCTCGCCCTCCTCCTCCTCCTCGTCCTCCTCCTCCTGCTCTTTCCAGCTCCTCATCCTCCTGCCATTCCTCGCCCGCCCCCAGTGCTCGTCGTCGTCCTGCACGTCGCCTTCGGCCTTGGGCGCCTCCTCGCACTACGTTTCCTGCTCCTCGTCCTCCCCCTGCCCTTGCTACGTTTCCCCCCCCTTCTCCTCCTTCCAGAGCCCGGCTGCGCTCCAGGATTTCGCGGGCAGCTAGTGGCGGATGCGGCCCGGCGCCTCCAGCAGCCGCTGCGTGCGGAGAGGGCTACCTAATGTCCTCCGCTTCTCCTCCTTCTCCTCTTCCTTCGCCTATTCCTGCTCTTCCTCAGCCTCCTCCGTAGCCATTTTGGCTCAAGCCGTTCTGGGCCCTGGCCGCGCCCCCGAGCGCCTGGGCCGCGCCACCGCGTTCTTCAGAGCGGCCCGCGGCGGCGAGCCATGTTCGGGTGATGGTGGGCATGGCGAGCGCGCCGCCGCTCCTCGTCGCACGCCGCGGCGACGCGGAGCTCGAGGCGCACCCCTACACCATCGCCGACGCGCCGGCGGCCCGCTTCTTCGCCAGGGTGGAGGACGAGGACAGCCGCGAGGTTCGGCGGGTCGCCGAGAAGGCGGCCCGCCAGCGCAGCGCTGACGGGTAGAAGCTGGAGAACAGCCCGGCGGGCTCGTTATAAATAAATAAATAAATAAATAAATAAATAAGTAAATAAATAAATAAATATATAAATAAATAAATAATATATGTATATATATATACACCTATATATACATATATATATATATATATATTAATTAATTAATTAATTAATTAATTAATTAACAGAAAAACTGGGATCTGCAGCCCAGACCTGGAGGTGGACGATGACGAGCAGGGTGACGAGAGGGTGCAGCACGTCGAGCGGCGTCGCGGTGCTGCACGTGTGCGGTCGCAGCACTGCTCCAGCTGGCGTGTCGGGGGGGGGCGCCGCTGGAGACACGGCGGGCCGTATCCCCCGACGGTGCGCGGCCTGTGGGGAGCCCTGGCCAGGCGGGCAAGGGCAGACATAGAATTCACGAGCACGTGGGGGAGGACCAGGCTCAGGCGACGCCATGAAGCTGGAGAACGAGAAGGCCTTGCAGGTCTTCGGCGCGGACGGCGGGGAGGAGCAGTGCGACCGCCCCGACTCGCACGGCCTGCGCCAGGATGTGGAGGACGTCAACAGCGTGGCCGTGCCGCCGCACGTGACCATGGGGACCGCGATCGACATGGTCAAGGTGGTGGACTGCCGCATGCAGGCCGTGTACGGCCTCGGCGAGAAGGACAAGATGAAGGAGCTGGACTGTTTTCTCGCGTGCTCAGTGCGGCCCTCGTGGCCGCGTTCGGTTGCCCGTTGATCTCCGTCCCCGCGGAGATGATGAAGTCTTGGCAACGGCCCCCCTTGGAAGGGTTACTGTTGGGATGCACCTGTCAGGTGGGACCCTCGGGTTCCTCGTCGCCGCTCCCGCGTTGAGTGTAGTTCGGCCGCCGAGGCGGCGAGGCGGATTTTGCCTAAGGCCCATAGCCATAGCCATAGCCATAGCCATAGCCTCCTCGTCCTCCTCCCCCTCCTCCTCCTCCCCCTCCTCTTCCTCCTCCTCCTCCTCCTCCTCCTCCTCCTCCTCCTCCTCCTCCTCCTCCTCCTCCTCCTCCTCTTGTTTTCGTTTCTGCCCCCCCGCCCTAAACAACGGTTGATGCGGCCCGCCTCCTCCTCCTCCCCTTTTCTTTCCTCGGGCATCCCGTGGAGGCGAAATCCTGAGGTGGCACCTCCCCCCTTATCCTTATCCCCTCTCCTCCTGCTTCTCGCAGGGGGTAGCTCCGGTCTGCATCTCCCTCACCCGTTCACTTCCTCGGACATGCATGCCATGGATGCGAATTTCTGAGGTCACGCCCTCACTCATTACAATCATCATCCTGCTTCTTCCAAGTAAGAACCTCAACCTTGCACATTGAAACCTCAAGAAAATATTGCCAATAACAGGTGTTGAGTTGCAAGCTCACGAAAGGCGTTTACCTGCAATCGTTGGTGATCATCTTCGTCCTGCTTCTTCCAGGGGCGGCTGCGGTCCGCCTCCTCCTTCTCCTCTTCTTCTTCCTCTTCCTCCTCCTCATCCTCATCCTCCCCCTCCACCTCCACAATTACTCAATATGAATACTACTCTCCCTCTTCCCCTGATGACGTCTTGGGAATACTCGCTCCCCCCCCCCGCGTACTGTTTTTTTACACACAGGTTTCCCCGGAGTTGGGTTTTCGCTTGCATTTTGTTCCAAAATGCTGCTCTCGCTGAAGCGCCAGCCTCATTTTCGGGCCCCGCTCGTTCCGAATCGTGCTCCCGCTGCACCGCTGGCATCATTCCCGCCGGCGCCCGGGCTGCACGCCCGAGCCGGCGCCTGGGCCGGCGCTCGGGCCAGGTCCGGAGCCGGTTCCGGCCGGCGCCGGAAAATCGAGTCCCGAGGCGGCGCCGAAAAAAAATGCCATTCTAATACACATTTTTCTTTTTAGAATGCTGGAATTCTGCTTCTGGCGCCCGGGAGGCCTCCCGGGCCGATTCCGACGCCCAGGCCGGCGCCCGAGCCGGCGCCCGGGCCGGACGCCCGAGCCGGCGCCTGGGCCGGCACCCTGGCCGGGTCCGGAGCCGGTCCGGAGCCGGTTCCGGGCAGCGCCGGAAAATCGAGTTCCGAGGCGGCGCCGAAAAAAGGCCATTCCAATACATTTTTTTGAAAATGCTGAATTTCTGCTTCTGGCGCCCGGGAAGCCTTCCCCGGAGTTAGGTTTTCGCTTGCGATTTTTCCCAAAATGCTGCTCTGGCGCCAGCCTCATTTTCGGGCCCCGCTCGTTCCGAATCGTGTTCTCGCTGAAGCGCTGGCCTCATTTCCGTGTTTCCGCTCGTTCCGAATCGTGCTCTCGTTGCAGCGCTGGCCTCATTTCCGCGCTTCCGCTCGTTTCGACCCGTGCTCCCGCTGCAGCGCTGGCGTCATTTCCCGTGCCATGCCACGGCATGCAATGAAATGCTAGGTTGATACTACGCT